TTGCGGCTTTCCGCCTTCTTTTTTCTTTTAAAAGAAAAAGAACGAGAACCCGTTCACCGATGGATAATTGAATTTAAAGCGATTTAAAGGTCCACGCGGCCTTCTCAAAGGCTTTGATCGAGTTATTTTATAAAGCATCGAACGGCGATAGTATATAGGGTACACTTGGTACCGGAATTCGGATAAGTCAAGGTTTAATCCGGGTCATTCGGACAAGTTGACCCTAGGAAAGAAATATTATTTTTGTTAATAAAAACACAAGTGTGCCAGGTTTTATATATAATGATTGAACACTGGCGACGGTTACCAGCACGAACAGAACAAAGGGCTGGTGGTGAAAAAATAAAATCATCCCCGAGGGGAAGCAATCATCTGAAGGCACGGAGACAAGCAGGTGCAAAGGAAAGGTGATACGTTAACACACCTTCCAGAAACACGATCGACGATTCCTATATATGTATACTTGTCCCATTATGCTTTCGTTTTCTCGCCAGTTCGCGTATAAAATTAACATTATCCTCGCTTCCAGGAGTGGTTGCATTTTTTTCCGTGCAGCTGTGTCGCGATACATTGTCGTGGACTAATGCATGAATTATAATAATTAGGGATAAGAGCCAATATATTTTGAATTTCAATACTTTCGCTCGAAAAAATCCATTGAAAAATGAATTTTAATTATTTCTATTCTGTGTAACTGTGATTGATATTCCACGAAAGTGATGAAGAAATGTAAAATACTGATCTGATCCCGTCCCTAATTACAATTATGAAAACAGCAACCACACCTTCCAAGAAAAGAAAAATCAACATAGAAATAGAAAAAAAAAGGTGAAACGTAAAAATGGAGAATCGTTTTAACGAGCCTATTGGCTCTTTTAAATAATTCATACGAGTCCGTCAGACGAGCCGTAAATTTTCAATACTAATTCCCGCGAACATTACAAACCGCGAGCCTCGCCAGCGACAAAATAGAATGAAGAGGAAAAATATGCATTATACGGGTACAATGGTTGTCTAAGGAACGAACATGATGAATGAAAGAGTCAAACGATGGTCCCGAAGTCGGTAACGTCCAAGGATCCATCCTCATGGTCGTTTTGCTTTCTCTCTTCTCTACCTCCTCCTCCCTGCCCCCGCTCGTTCGCCCCCTTTGACGCAGTTGCAGCTTTGATATTCCTGCCAGAATATCCCACTTATAGTTAGTGCATAAGCCCTTGCATCTCTGCTGCACTCTTCCCTCTCCGTTTCCCACCCCTTTGCGTCGCGACGCGTGTCTCTCTCGCACTACCTCATTTACCTCGTCGTTCGAACTTTCTCCCTCGCCTTTCCAGATTTCACATCCTCTCTGTCGCTGCTCGCGTCGACACACGATTTTCTCATCGTTTCTCACCGTGTCTCTTTGTCCCGTCTGCGCGCGTTAAACGCTTTGAAACGCGCGCGTTTCATTCGCGGCACTCACCGTTTAGAGGATAACGCGTCTAGGATGTTCGCGACGATACACGGAATCATCCGGTCAAGGCTCCGGTTTTCTATCGTTTCGCACGATGATTACATCCGATCTCGCGTAATTGCGTTCCATCCGCGAAAGCGTTATTCCGTCGACGAACATAGGCGGTGCAGAACCGCGAAAGAATCGGACACGGTTGATCGGAAGGAGAAGTAGGCAAAGGAAAGGGTGAAAGGCATAAAATTGGTACGGGGGCAAACGGTGGAGAGGAATTTTCAGGGGTCCCGAAACGATGGAGGTCCTCGATCGGAGCAACGCCCACTTTTTCACTGTTCCAATTAGGCGGGAACCGTTGCGTACGTTTTATTTGGTAGTTGATTGGTGTCGAGCGGACAGTAGTGGGAATTAATGAAGACCGTTAGGGATAGGATATGCCGAACAGTTATTGGTCCTCTCGGATAATTTCGACGGACGTTCGCGAATTTTACAGGCGTTTAGTCGTCCGAGCAATTAGTACCGCCGACACGATCGACCGGCAAAACGGATCCGTGATACGCGCCCGACACGGAAATTACAAACAGCCAACACCGATCGATGCTACCGGAGAAATTTTAGAAAAGTAATTAAAGCTAGATTGCTAATAAAAAAGTAAAAAAATATATATATATATATATATATATGGTTAACCGTGAAAGAAATAATAAAAAGGGATATTTAGTGAATTTTGGGACTGAAGTACCTACTGTAGTAATTGATTGATTAACGAGTCAAAATTGACTCTGACTCTGTATCGAAGTATTAAACACTGATATACGTGTATATCGAGTAGAGAAAGAAAAACGTGTCCTAAGTAAGCCCCCGATATTCATAGACGCACAGGTTTCAAGTTCGAAGGGGTCACTAGAGACTGTCCATACATATTCATGCGGAGTATTTACCTAAGGCCAGAAAAGAACTGTTAAGAACCAAGGCAACGTATCGCATTAATACGAGGGTCCTCGGAGATCCTACGAATACGTAGGTATATGCAAATGACACCGTTCCCGCCGGGGAAACCTTTAAATCACACATCGAGGCTACCAATAACACGTCGACGATCGTAATACAAGACAGCCTTTATGCTTAGTGGCAGCACGAAAACTTTCGTTCTCGAGTTAAAAGGATCGCGGTTTTAAGTACCGTAACATGCAATAACAGCCTTTCATCGGTTACAATTCCTGCCGGGATTAAAATAACAAATAGACGAGAACGACACGTGTATGTAACCGGTAATACAAGCTCCGTCTACGATGATTATTTTCGAAGAATACTATTTAAGTAATCCATTTGATACGCTGCTTTTTATTAACTTAATAATTCAGTTATATTATTTATATCATAAATTGAAATTAATGTCCATGTAAAGAAAGAAAAAGGAAATCTGTTAAGTAGAGTTGAACAGTCTGCATGGAAAGATACGCGAACAAATTACAGTCATGGGATTTCAGAGATCTCTGGTTATTTAAATTTCCCTGCTCGCTTCCCACCGTTCCGCTTATCTCCGTCGTTCCTTAAAGGAGCGAGGAGAAACGAAAAAGGGAGGTACAAAGCGAATCTTTTCCTTCAAAACGAAAGATCCGGCAAATTTATACATCACAATTCAGCGCGCATCCAGGCCATTAACGCGTCGACGACCGAGGAACATGACGGCCATGGTACATCAACCTCCGTGAGGAAAGCGAGCTGGCCCGGTCGAAATTACCAAAAAGGAGCCACGCCGTGCTTTTATCGCGAGTAATTCGGGCCACGATCGTACGTATACGGTGTCTAATAAATTCGTGAATGGCCGGGCTGCGACTGAAATGTCCTATACACCCACGCTCGTCACGCACATCGGAACAAGGAAAGGGGGATACGTACGGTGTTTGTGTGCGCGTGCCTCGATTCCGAGGTTGTTGGCGTTGCTTGCGCGTTTAGGGTGGGTATATACCGAGCCGACGAACCGACGAACCGACATGGGGGCACCGAGAGAGAGCGGATATTATCGCCAAACGTTAATTTGGTCGAGGCCCGGCCTACCTTCCAATTTTCGAGCCCTTACACGCCCACTTACGAGATTGTCCGTTAATGCTCCGAAACGTCGGGACGCGTTTTCGACGCCCGCGTTTTACCGCCACGAAGAACTTTACTGGCTCCACGTATGGACCGATGTATACCTCCTTCAATCCTTTACCCTTAACGTCACACGGAAGAATATGCGGTAGAATGCAAATAATTCTTGGAAATTTATTAAAGAAACGAAGAAATTCGACACTGATAACGATCCCCGTTGCATATCCGCGCATTCGATAACGTATCAATCTGATAACTCGTTAAACAGATCTCTGCGAAACGAAATGTAACGATGCGAAAAAAAAGAGCGATACTTCTGGTTAAGCTTTTTAAGAAAACAGGAAAATCGTATTTCAACGGTATCTTAACATTCCCCTGGTTGAAAGCGCGCACGCATCACACGCCCGCGCCTAATTTATGTAACGCAGAACAAATATACTCGCGGTCGGCTTGTACGTACGTACGTCGGGGCAAAGAAAATAAATAGCTGGCGAAACAAGTGGAGCATCCAGAGTGTGAAGCAAGAAAATAGTCCGCGCGCCGATTCGTAGACCCGAAATAGGGCGGTGTGAACAGCAGGAGACTTTACTGTACACCGTAGAATCCGACGTGGAGGACCGATGTATCGGCAGTGTGCGAGCGTTGTTGGTAAGAACCGGTTATATAGGAACCGTCCTCCACCTTCTGCACCTTCTTCTTCTGCTTCTTCTACCTTTTCTTCTTCTTCTTCTCCTTCTTCTTTACTTTCCTTTCTACTCATTCGCCGACCTTTCGTTCCATCCTTGCCAAGTATCAAGCAAGCTACATAATACAGGTAAACCTGTATATACAAGCTCACCTGTATTGGTAGACGGCTGTGTTAGAGAGCGTATATACACTTACGTGGGGTCCCGACACCATGGGCGCCTGCCTATCTGACATTGGGTGCCTACGAGGGCGAGTCCGACGTTGTTTCTTTCTGTTTTTGGATTTTTTTTTTTTCTTCTCTCCCTTTCCTAACCTGGCTACCAACGGAGCCGGAGGGAACCGTGTGTACTCCTTACGAGGACCCTCCGGGGGCGGCGGAATTTCGCGAATGTTTCACGGATACCCTCGTTTCCGAAACGAACGGTACGCGGAAACGCGAGAATCTATTGTGCCCGACCAAAGATATCCCGCTGAGAATGAAACGCGCGGCTGTTAATGTGCCTCTCGTTCCTGGTGTTGATGGTCGTGAATTAATTTCTTACATAGAGAGAAAAAGAATGCGAACAGTGTTGATCACCGGGGAGAAGAATGAACGTGGCAAAGCGTGAATTAGAATTGAATGAGAAATGAGTTTGAATGGAATTGCAAATTTAGTGGGAAATTATTAAGTTTCTTTTTGATTATCTTTTTTCACTTTGAACGATTTTTGAGACTAAAATGTATCTTAATTTTATTTTAATTTTGTGCTAATGGATGCTGTTTTTTTCTGTTACAGATTTCGAATAGACAACACGGATCACATAATAGACGTGAACAAGAACAATGCGGCGTTCGAGTACGATCAAGTGAACATAATATGTCCCGTGTACCAACCTGGAACGTATGACAAGGAAACGGAAAAGTACATCGTTTACAACGTAAGTATACTTTATATTCGATTGCAATGAGAAAAATTTGAAATCTTTTTTGCCTACGAAACTTTGTCACGAGCCCGGGTGTATATACTTGGATCAGATAAATCGAGTTACACGAATGTCACCCATTATAAGAAGTAAAAAATTGTCAAAGGGAGTCCTGCGCTGTTTAGACAGCTGCCGCTACTCGAAACTCGTTCGTTAACTCTCTCTCGGACCCCCAAGAACGACTTCCGTTTCGTAACCAACTTTTGACACTGCTCTGCCCTCCGGGGGTTGTCCGAAAATTATTTCATCCCCTTTGAAAGATATTCATGAACGAATATTAACATCCTTCCGAACGATCGTAACATGTGCGTCCTCGAAAAAAAAAAAAAAAAGAATCTTCTTCTTAAATCAAATCGTTGCTAACGTCGAGGAAAGTTCCCCTATTCTTTCGCTTTTATCGTAGATTCGAATGTCGTTGGCTGAAGCAAACGCAAGCAGCCACGAATCATCGCCGAGATCTAATCACCGTGTCTCAATGTCCTTCCCTCTTGCTATCGTTTTGATAGCGCCTGGCGATTCAACCTAACAATAGATATTTTTCCCCCCCCTTGTTGACCGTATCTTACAGGGGACGAGTCGAGAAACAAGAATCAGCTCTTTCCAGCGGCTATAACTTACAAAGGGACGTGGAAAAACTTTGTAGTGATTCAGCGATTAGTAGCCTTTATGAAACTTCTCGGTCTATACTCTGCTGTTCCGTTATAATCACTTCTAATTTTTAATAAAATACATAAATGAGCAGGATGCTCGTAAGGACAATAATTAAAAATAATAACTATCCCTTTCACTCGAAACAAAAACGCAGAACAGAGATTTCTTTGTGATAAAGCGGTTAGGTTAATAGAACGATTCATTCGTTACAGAAGTTTATAATTATCGTGTGATTCACAGGTATCCAAAGAAGAATACGAAACATGTCGGATAACGAATCCGATTCCGCGGGTGATAGCGGTCTGCGATAAACCGTACAAGACAATGTACATCACGATCACCTTCAGGCCGTTTACACCGCAGCCTGGAGGCCTAGAGTTCCTTCCAGGACACGATTACTACTTCATTAGCACCTCCTCCAAAGAGGACCTGCACTTGCGCGTCGGTGGACGATGCGCCAGTGACAACATGAAGGTTGTCTTCAAGGTGTGCTGTGGCAACGACGCTGACACCTCCTCCTCGTCCGCAACATCCCGCAACAACTGTGAGTATTCCTTCTTTCCTGACACGTGTCAGCTCCGATATGAGCGTGTTTATTCGAACGCGGACTACTCGTTCGTAAATCTACAGTGGTAGAATTAGTCGAGGTAATCTGAAAATGAACTCGACGAAGAATAACAAGGTTTATTCGTGGAACTAAAACATTTGGATTAGCTACGATAATAGAGGTAAACCGTTCTGTAAATTGTCAGAATTGAAGAAAATCCCCTGTTTTACTATAAGAGGAACGATTTCGCGCGTAAGGGCTATTCTAATAGACCGATTATCATAATCTGAAATTATAGACGTCGTCTACGGGTAGAATGTACCGCCTTTTCATTCCCCGTGTAAATCATGTTTAAAGCCTTCACGGTATCGCGTCGTACAGGTTCACGGTGACTCGTCGAACAGCAAAGAAACGAACGGTGGAGGGACCGCGTCATAAATTCATTATCCTGTAATCAGTTACAAAGAGGAGCCAGTCACGTAACAACAGACGGTCTGCGTCGCTTTTCTGAACTCGTTCGACGATGTTTGGGACGTTCGTTCCTCGAACCAGCAGACTGCTCCTCCCCTCTTAAATAATCCCTATCAATTATAATTCCTACTCGTGCACCATTTGTTGCGGTTAGGGGGACCAACACTGTCCCAGAGCGCACAATAAATTCCACTATTTCACTCTAGCCTGGCCTCTCCCTAATTCGTTCCAACCGTCCTCCCAACACCTCCTTTTCTGCCTTCTGCCACCGGGGCCGACTATCGCCACAGACGATTCATGCGCCGTAATGACTAGCTATTTCGCAGACCCGAGAACTCTGAACTCTTCGGGGTCGAACATTCAAGATTCCACGGGACTCATCGGCCTCGAAATCCTCCCGCCTAGCCTGACGTTGCCACTATCCTCCGGTATACACGATTACTATCAGCTGCCGCGAACAGCGAGAAATGTTAATCTCGCGGAAAATTTCTAAGGATCATCCTCTTGCTCGCCACGGCCATAGACGTTCGCGATGGCAATTAATCGGGGAAAACGCGAAATTAATCAAAGATTGTATTTTACAATCAACCCTCGAAGGTTATAAATTTCGAGTCTATGATGCTTAATTTTTTCTTTTTTTTAATGAAGGGACGAGTTTCTGTTTTAACAATTTTTGCTGCTCTTCTGGTGCATCCCTGGTGCATCCTGATCGTGAATTTTTACGACACGGCATTTACAGTTACATCTGTAACGGTCGGTACGCGCGGTTCTATTATTCCGCGGCGAGCAACATGCGAACGTGATCGACGGTCAGATTAAATAAAATTTTACGGCCGCAATCATAACCGCGTCTATTTCGATAGGAATAACGTTTTACCGTGAGCCAGTCTCGTGCTGTACATTGATAATTGAAATCGACGTCGATTCCGACGGGGTCCGTTTATGGTCGCCGGTCGGCTCCGCGATTTTCACGCGTTGCGAAATTACGCAAAACCGGCGTGGCGCGCTTTCGCCGGCGAGGCTAAAATCGAAGCCGCGTAGCAACGTTATCCTAAATCAGCCGACTGGAATCGTTGTCGAGCGGGCCGCGTAACAACAGTAATCGAGGCACGATGGAAATCGCTCACGGCTCGTGGACGAGCGCAAAAATCACCCTCTGATTACACGCTAAAATTCAATAGTTGCGACAACGTGGCGATCTGAGCGCAGGTCGAAAACCTCGCGAACCGTCAAGAAAGTAGCGAGAGGAGAAAGTTAACGGTTGAAAAGGAGGCTCGAACCCGTCGCTCGGAAGGTATTGATAATATAAAAATATTATTTATACCTACTTTTTCGTTGTTGCAGCCGTGACCGTGACAAGCAGCACCGTGCCAAGCAGCAGCTCGACCAGCACCGCAGTTTTGGGTGGAGGAATCGCTGGACTACCACCCCCGCAACCACCGAGCGTCCTCCAGGGCGGAGATCGATCCTACCCAGGGGGCAACATTCATCATCATCAACCGGCCACGGCGGCGCCGACCCTGCCCCACGCGCACCCTCCGGCCATCTACCCCGTGCATCCGCATCAGCCTCCGATTCACAATGGACCGCCGTCCTCCTCGTCGCCCAAGACCTCGATCGGCCAGAAGAAGAAGAACAGTACGTATACGTACGCCGCACCACTGCCTCTTGCCACCTGCTCTCTTTGCCGCGAAACAAGTTTCTTGATGCTCCTCGCGCCACCATTATCTCGGCCAATGATTCTTTCTTCCTTTCTTTACACTCCTTCCTTTATTTAGCTTCGCGCCACCTTCTCTCTTGTCGTCGGGTACCGTCGAAATTAATCGTTTGAGAAAATGGGTGTCTCGTTTGATCGACGTTCGATTAGATCTTCATCCGTGAAAATGGTGTCGAATGGAGCACTGGAAGTGAAAAAGTTTCGAACATTTCATAGTCGTCTTCACTTTTTTCAATTGAATTGTGTACTTTGTTATGCGACAATCGAAGCATTTTCTATTCTTTACAAAGAAATATTAAGGGACTTGGGTCGAGAATTGATCAATTCAAAAGATATCTTAAGAAGAGATTTAGATTTCTCCGATTTAAAAATTTTTTTTGGAATTTTATCCTTTCCTTGAGATCAAATCCTGCGTCTTCTTATTCTCTACAAAAAATTATTAAGGTAATTGGGTCGAAAATTAAATAGTTAAAAAGATATCTTAGGGAGAGACCGCTCGTCTCTCCCTGTCTCTCCCTAAGATATCTTTCTAACTATTTAATTTTCAACTCAAGTACCTTAATACTTTCTTATAGAGAATTAAAAAACGCAACATTTGATGTATAGCAATGTACATAATTCAAAAAAAAAAAATGGCTTCAATGACCGTCATTGTTTCCGTTTTCAATATTAAATTTAAAAATATCCCAATGAAGCGGTACTTCTTAAACACCGACATTTTAACGCGAATTCAGCTCGGTACTTCGTACATGAAATTACTCTGTATGGTTAAAGGTGTCTTTAATCGTTGCCTCCTTTTTGGCGGACTGGTAATTATTACTTCGTATCGAAATTACTGTTGCATAAAATTAAGATAAACCACTCGTCCCCGACGACTTTGCTGCTCGTTATCTTTGTGTAAATCGTTTTTTCGGGACGACGAATTACCAGGTTATATCGGGAGTTCGTTATTAGCACCGCGTAATTGATATTTCTCCTTTTCGAGAGAAACAAGTTGAACATAGTCGTACGAATCCCTTTCGCAACATCCATGATGGTTAGACACGAAGCAAAACGGAACGTCGTCGATGCTCTCCAATCATTATTTTACCGTTACGTAGTTGAACGTGATGCTCCATTGCGTGCCAAACAATCATTTTACGTAATTCATTCGGCTTATCATTTCACTCGCATTAAGTCGGATAAAGTAAATAACGAGCAAATAAATTTTAATGAGCTTTCAAATTATATCGTACCTCCTACCTTGTTCTATTTATTACAAGCCGATGCATCGTATAAATTACAGAGGATAGGATTATTAAATCAATCACTGACCGAACGTATGTGAAAAGTTCGAAGGCAACGTCCTGTAGAATCTTTACACGCGGTTTCTTAATTCTTCGTTCAAAATTTTCAAATAGAAATGAATTCAACGTATAAAATTGAAATGGTTCGTGGTGTACCACCATGCTGTGAATCGTAATAACAATTTAGGATTCCAATGGTAATCGAAATCGTTCATGGAAATTCACAGTTTCGTTCGTGGACCAGGTTCCGCTTTGTTTGCGCTACAAAGCTTACAGAGAAAGAAAAAGTTCACAGTGAAACTACTCACCTATGCACCAGACTTTGGATTGAAATTGCAGCTTCCGCTCCGATATGTCTGCGTTTCCGGCTCTATAATGAAGCAACTTTTTCTACCCGCTTCCTAGCAGTTCCATAGCGTTCCGAAATGCTTAACAGGGATGCGTTTCCCACAAAGTAAACGTGTTTGTTGATTAAAGAAGCTTTAGCAAAATTATTAGTATTACATTAACAATGTATTGAATAATAAAGGAGCTTCGTTTAGGGGTGGAAAGCGGGTTGCGTCTCGTTCCTGCTGTACGAGTCTCTCCACTGTTTATATTATTCTTTCTCCCGTAAATTGATAAATAACGAACGTTTTTAATTGTTAACAGAGGAATATTCGGACCACCCGAACGAAGTTGTGAAGAACGAAGAACTGACGTACAACGGTGGGAGTTCCAGCCGCGTTCACAATTGTTACAGCCAACTGGTGGTTGTGTTGACGGCAAGCTTCCTGATCAGCACGATTCTGCCACAGTTATTGCGGTGAAGCGACCACACTATCGACGAGAACGTATATCCCATACGTCGAAACCCCTTTTTCTGTGATTATCCTACGTTTAATTAATTTCTTGAGGCACGCGCGCCCTTTGCGCGGCCGCCCCTCGATCGTGAAAAATAAAACGCGCACGATTTATGGTCGGACTGCCTCGAGAGAAAGAGATGAAGAAAAGGATGGTTTTTTAGGGAAAGAACGAAAGAATGGTGAAAAGAGAAAGAGAAATGAATAAAAGAAAGAAGAAAACACACAGGGGAGCGTCAAGAGAAGAGAGACACGCACGACACACGAGCAGCAACGCCATATTAACTATTCGAAATGGAAGCACGAAGACGTAGGTAGTAAGATTTACGAAGAAAGACGAAACGCTACTACTAGACACTATTATAGTATGCCCACTATTATCACTACTATAAATGGTAGTCGTATTGGTTGTCCTTCTTATCATTACGCTAATTCTAGGTATTTATTCGAAATACGAGCGAAGTCGTGAACAGCGTGTTAACTATCCTCGAACGTGATACACGCTAAGATAAACATCCGTCAGTGAAACGCGAAAAGACTTCTCCTCGATGATGATTTTTAAGGAGAACCTTCATTGTATCACGCAAACCACTTCGATGTTGAACGAACGGTCCTCTGTCACGAATACCACGATCTCTTTGCACGAATCGCAATTAAGATCGTTAAAGGGTTAAAAAAAAAAGAAAATCGGTTGTTCGAGTCAGATTCGTTATTAGACACGAAAAGTCTCCGATACGAATTTCCTTACGAATGTGTTTCACTTGGAAGCCTTTTTCTTTGTTACACTTTTATTATCGTGTCCATGTCATAATTGAGGATTAATTATTGACAGTAGCGCCGCTAGTCAAATCGAGATAACGACGAATTACGATTGTTTGAAAAAAGTAGCGCCATTAGTTGAATCCAGATTTATCGAACGACATCTGACAGAGAACCATTCGCCCCACCCCCGTGAATCGCGAGCAGGATAATTAACAGGCGTGTAAATAAATTCCTAATGAATATGTACAAGTGGCTCTTGCCTGGTGGCAAGGTTTAAGAGAGTGCCGTAATACTAGGTAAAAATCTTCTATATGCTAGACGGGAAGGATGTGTGAAAGAGTGTGACGTGCGTGAGTGTGTTAACGAGATGCGTGTACAACACTGAACACGAGGATCGTCCATTTGGATAGTGAGTGTCAGAGAGAACTGTGCAAACGTGCGACGAGCTTTTTCGAGTTCCAGGCGACGGTTTTCCAGAACCGTGACACATTTCACTTACCACGTGAAGTCTCGTCGACGAGTGATTCCCTCGCTTCGATCGAGTTTCCTTGGAATGAAAAACGAAAGCATGAGAGACTGATCGCTGGGCGAGAGAGAAGTAAGATTTTTGTATCATAGTTGTACCATACCGAACTCTATCTATAGATCTGTATTATATTTATTATCCGCTATCATTACGCTACGAATAATCACACTCGATATTCTCTATATTTACTAGTAAAGAAAAAAAAAAATATCAAATTTAATAGCGAATAAATTTGCGTATTCGGCGGGGTAAAAAAGAAAAATGAAAGAGAAAGAAAACGACAACGTGCAAAATGAATTTCACCCTGTCACCATCGGATCCGTTCATTCTGATTTTCCGTTACTCTTTAATTATCCACGCGTTATATCGCCTCCGAGCGCGCACCGCGATTCTAAATCAATTTGGCCGTGCGATCGTCGATTCCATTGTATCGTCACTTCGGTTCTCCCAATGTCCTTTCGTTTTTGATACTATATTTATTGTACACCGCCGCGCAGACTTAGTTTCTATACGCGTATCGACGAACATACGCGCAATGCGGATCGCATTTATTTGTAAAGCGTTACAGGATTACATGTATACATGCACACTGGCCACGATCGTTACACGCGATCCGTCGTGCGCCTCTTTCAAGCCCCGTTCCAAACTTAAGGATCGTTGATTTTTCGTGACGGCGAATCGCCGTTTGATCCAGGCGATCCAACGATCACGCGATCACCATCACGAGTCCGGAATCGCTACCGAATACAAATACTGCCATATTTACAGTTAACGTCGATTATCTCTGATTTAATCGGTCGAGACACGACGTCGTGCGACACACGCACCTGTCGTCCTCCGAAATCGTCCTTTCACGGTACATTTCTTTCGCGTCGACGCCATCTCGTTCGACGTCCGATCAACGAGCACAGTATCGTTGCACAATCGTTACCGGACTTCTTATCGACTCGTGAACGGCGAGATACGGACGGGGCTTGAGGATGGATGAAAGAGGACGGAGGAAATGACCGTTTCGCCGTTGGTCACGGAACAGATACGACAACTAGAGTAACGAGCTATTTGTAAATATATACGAGTATGCGAAGAGGATAGATTTATCGCATAATGCCAGAGCAAGCGAATGCGTATAAATAGAAATGAAATGAAACCCCAATTCCGAATCGTAGGTAATAAAAGATGAAATGTATTCCGAAGGCTGCTCGATAAAAACCGACTCGTTTTCGTCATTATTCATTGATGGTTTATCGTCCTTAATATAATACGCGACAACCAATTTCAAATAATAAAAAAAAAAAAATATATATATATATATGAAAAGTCAATGACCACGATCAGCCGAGAGTGTTGATGAAAACGGCGGAAACTAAATGCGTGTATAATGTTATCCATTACAGTATTGTAAGCCTAAGTATTACATGCCTCCGATCCACGTCTGTTTGTCTGTCTGTCCGTTCGTCTGTCTACAAGTTTGTACTTTTACCCATGTGTTTAACCGCAATAGCCAGTTTGTAATCGTAAGGGCCGATCGATGACGAAAGCAGTCACGATACTCTCGTTTTTGTTTCACCATTCATAGCGATTCTTCTTATTCTATATTACGAAGTTTCATTTAGTTTCTCTTCTAGTCGTTTTCGTTCACACGTGGAATTGTTTGACCCTCGACAACCCGCAAATCGACACCCAATGACAATCACCCGAATATTTGTAAAGAGAGAGAAAAAAAAAAAAAAAAAAAAACAGAAAAAAAATGAATCGAGTCTGTCAACGTAGATCCGTTGTTTATAGCGATCAAGAGACCTCTTAGATCTTTATTATCCTCCACCGGTAGTTATTCGCGCGATATATTGTACAAAATGTTTTTTCATACAACTTCGAAGTTCGGTTTGCGGGTCTGAGAGGGTGGTCACTTCGTAAATGGGACGCAATTGTACGATGCGTTTACGTTATCTCGATCGTTCGTCGATACGGAACAGATTCGAATCGTGAATGTGTTGTCGGAAAGACTGCTGATATATCGGTCGACTTGATAGCGAATTTAATCAGAGCAAGCAAATCAGCCCGTAACCGATAACATAAATGCAATAGCAATGCAGAAAAGTTACATAGATCCAATGTGAATGGTACTTCATTCTTACGGACGATAGGTAAATAACAGTATAACAGTAATATAGACTTCGAACTATCGATAGAAAATAGACAAGGTCACTCACTGCAATTTATATTTTATTTTTTCTTTCCTTCTTTCTTCATTTTCTTATTTTTTTTCTTTTTTCTTCTCTTTTCGTTTTCGTTACAACCGATTCCAAAGCACCGTATCCTTATCCGATCACGAACACACGCGAAACGCTGCTCCTCGAGAGTTATTTTTATAACCGCAAACAGGGACACGCATCGTCCATTGATATTTAAATGGAGAAAAAAAAAGAAAGATATATTGTGTAGATACCATACGTTAGAGAATTAAAGATACAGCGTTATAATTGTAATTTGCCGATAAAAGGATCAATTATATCTAGCGAGTTTCAAATCGATCTACAAAACGAGGCGCAGCTTTCGCGTTCAATTATCCCAAAGACATCCGAATACCTTCGCCCAACGATTTTTCATCGTTCGTTTTTTCGCTATTTCATTGTGTTATCCTCTCGTGTGCGTGTTTAAGAACAATGTCAATGGTTAATTAATTCTCCTTGACGAACTCTACAGCACGTACTCTTGTTGCGTACGGAAAAAGGAAAACAGGACTTGTTCCTCTCTTCTCGAGACAGAGGGTTTAAGGAGTTTAAAGGAGAGAAGAAGAAAAACAGAATCCATTGATTATATTTACCGCGTCGAATCAACACCGCCGCGGATTTATAAATGGGATCGAGATGATTTCGTAGGTACGTCGTTGTAAATATAAAAAAAAAAAAAGGATTACGATCAATAACGATAACACGATGAAATTTATATTAAATACATAGCAAGTAACGAGGATAGGTTTCTAATAACAATTTATTATAAAATAAAAAAAAAAATGAATGTACGTTGATGTCTAAGATTTTTAACAAGATGGAAAAAAAACACAAAGTGGTTATTATTAAAACTATGATTATTACTCATAATCGAGAACACAAGTACTAATTAAACGAGAGCGTTTCAATGCAGAACCACACTTTTTAGCCAGGTCATGAATTCTCTCACGTTGCATATATTAATTTTGTAACAGGTACAATTACATGACACAAATGATCACGGTCACGGAAAGCATACGAAAGGCGCCATGTTTATAATAAAACACCCCCTTTCTTTCATCCTCTTGAATACCTTGTATTTGCATAGAAATTAAACACGAAAAGTACTAAAAATGACATCATAATTTACTTTTATCATAAATTAGGGATTGGCAGACTAGGGTTCCTTTTCTATTTTCGTATAGACTGCGAATTGAGAATAATTTTTGAATTTTTAAAAAAATATTTAAATAATGAGACCAAGAATTAACACGAAGAAGAACCGAGTTGGTAGCTTCATCCTTACCAAAATGGCAGCTGAAGTAACGAACCGGAAGTGGTACCAGCAAGAATCGTGGTTCTACGAATTATCAATAAGTACAGAATAATTTCAATTTTTCAATTTCTTGATTAACAAAATTTGATAGCTCGAAAGAGATAAGTTTCTTTATTCTTATCAAAATGGCAGCTGAAGTAACGAACCGGAAGTGGTACCAGCAAGAATCGTGGTTCCACGAATTATCAATAAGTACAGAATAATTTCAATTTTTCAGTTTCTTGATTAACAAAATTTGATAGCTCGAAAAAGATAAGTTTCTTTATTCTTATCAAAATGGCAGCTGAAGTAAAGAACCGGAAGAGGTACCAGCAAGAATCCTGGTTCCACGAATTATCAATAAGTACAGAATAATTTCAATTTTTCAATTTCTTGATTAACAAAATTTGATAGCTCAAAAAAGATAAGTTTCTTTATCCTTATCAAAATGGCAGCTGAAGTAACGAACCGGAAGTGGTACCAGCAAGAATCCTAGTTCCACGAATTATCAATAAGTACAGAATGATTTCAATTTTTCAATTTCTTGATTAACAAAATTTGATAGCTCGAAAATGATAAGTTTCTCAACCCCTGGTGATCTGAATTTTTATTTTCACATAAACATAGCGTGATCCACGTATGGTATCCGTGATCGTGATCCCTATAGATTGCGTGTGCTCACCAAGTATGCACGTTCAGTACAGTACAGTCGTTCATTACAAAGCATTAAAAATACAATACAAAGTAGTGTAGTGTTCATAATGGTAGTCCACTTGTAGCGAAATAGTATTTAAAACAGTCCAAGCAGACAAAAAACCGGAAAAAACACATAATCGACAAAAAAAAAAAAAGAATGAAATGATAACAGGTAACCGTAACACAGTAAACGTGAATCAACTTTCATGAAGTACATGCAAGACACGCACACTCATCATACACTCGAGCACATATGCTCGCTCTATCTCTCTATCTCTCTCACACATACATACACGTACACATGATATGTGGTACCGCGATAAACGCGACTCTACGAGCAACAAAAAGGAATATGTATTTAAATGTACACACATAGAGGTAAAAGAAAAGGCGACGAAGTGGCGGGATTTCGTCCACGCAAACGAAAAACGCACGTGCGTGAATTCACTCGCAGGAAAAATGTAAAAGACGTGAGATCACGACGCCTGGACGGCAGATTCGTCCGCGTCCCATCATTTATATAGCTATTATTGTATTATGTATGTCGATATACGGTCACATATATCGATGGTAAACGAAAGTAACAGAAACGAAATGAAAAAAAAGAAAAGTAACTTGAAAAAAAAAAAAAAATGCCGAACAGGGAAACCGGGCGTCCCGTATTTATATATGCGTACATATTCATACATATACACATACACACACACACAGACACAGACACGTACAGTACGTCGACGCCGATGGACGTCGTTTCATTTTGAAAGTACCTTGCGCGAGTCGTCTCGAATCGTTTAGTACAAAAAAAGAAAAGGATATTCTCTCGGTAAAACGAAACGCATGCGATCCAATGTTCCAGGCCAGGTTCAAACCAGGGTATCGAGCACTCTAGTTCATGTATTCGATGAGAAATTAATTCTTTGTTGTTTTTTTTTTTAATTTTATATTTAATGTCATCAACGTAGATGGCCACGAAATGGAGGATTCGAGATGCTGGCTGGTAAAATTTCAGAAATCACTGTCATCATTTTTACGTTCAACTCGGACAGGCATTAATAAGTTCCTGGAATTAAATTGGTTGTAAAAGTATGAGATAATGTTTATCGTGCCTGTTCCATCCGAAGAGATTCCAGCCGCGTCACGAATCCCTCCTGTTTGATGGATCAAATCATGACCGCGTGATTTTGAAAAATGAAAACGAAGATACGCTTTATTCCTCTGATTTGTCAAGTTCTGTCGATATTAGGTATACGTACGGTTATTTGGAAACGGTTGTTGACATGAAATGCAAGAGGAAGACGGTAGACCGGATTGCCTTTTCTTTCTTTGGATGTTGAAATTTTAAATAGAATCTCGTATCGTTTTCTAAGATAGCTCGAACGATTTTCAAAGATTCTATTGTACGTGTTCTTACAGGAAAATATCGTATTGTAACGCACAAAACTTTGATACGAAGAGATCTTCTTCGGGAAAAAGTTCCTCTTGCGTCGCGTGAAATACAAACGAAATATAAACGAAAACTGCCATTTTCAATTATACTCGGAAAGATTGATGATTATCGTAGTGGTAACTTATTCGTTGTTCTACCCTGCATGTGAAATGGAAAAATTGGTATGAAGGAATGTGAGAGGTTTGCTGCCGATAGCGGATTTCCGGTTCGATCGCATCCTAGAATTTCGTGAGTCTTTCGATAATGATCCAATTCCATCAATAACGAAATGATAAACTGCATTCGCCGTAGTACATACTGAAAAGTACATGATATCCAGCAGATTTAATCAATTAATATTAATTGAGAACGTTTCTGAAATATATTATTCATTTATAAAAATGTGCACAGTTAAATTCCATCGTTTACCTAATCACGATCGAGAGATAAAATCATTTGAAATTATTAAATGTTCGCTGATCATTGACAATAATAATAATTTCTGTGGTGATACATATCAACAATATTTCACACTATAAATTGAACAGTTTTTGTAATGATCGTATCACAAACTAGATTTAACCCTTTCGGTACTAAGGTCGACTATGATCATCCGATTAAAAGCATGCAATGGAAATTTATAGATAGCAATTAAATATAGAAATATCTATAGTAAAATATAAAATAATTTCATTAGGGTTGAAAGTTAATCAATGTAATATATTGGGGGTATGTAAAAATTTCCATTGTTTTAGAGGCAATTTTCTTTATTAATATTTTTCCAAAAATGTTCAAAAAATTGATATTACGTGTCCCTTAATCGTCATCACCATAATAATTGAAAATCCTAAGGGGAACTTTTGTGTTTTACCCCTGATATAAACGTGTCGACCATACCGAAGGGGTTAAAAAATGTTTCCTCTCGTCGGACATCGTGTGCTTTACAAGATCAAGTGTACAATTACATGCAACTTAGACTTCTTTTAGTTAAAAAGAAATTTAGGGAAAAGAGTGTTCTACCAGTTGCCTTATGTCCATCTACCTAGGTTCCCCTAGGATTTTTCCAAAACCGAAGGCAAACGGTGGAACGCTTCTCTCTCTACTTTTTTCCTTAACCAAAAGAAGCCTATGTTGCCCTTAAACGTACAGAATATAAAATCAGAAACCGCGACGATATGCAAGATACAAAAAATCTCACAATTCGCGATGCCGAGAAGGAAGATGATTACGTTTCGAGCCGCGTAGCCCAATCAACGGGAGACGCGACCATGCCACTTGTTTCAATCGATTCGATCCGATTTAAATTAAGCCTCCGTTCAGCTCGCCTAAGGCTTTTAGCCGTGTATGCTTCACAGACAACGAATCTTTCGACTTGCCAAAAACGACTCGCGGCTTACGTTATTGTTTTGCGATTGTTTAAGGGCAAAACTGTCGTTACGTAGGGCAGGACTTACGGGAATGAAAAATGAAGAAAAGGAATGCGCTTAAACGAATCGTTTCTCGTTTTATTTTCGAAGGTTGTTATTTAGGGCTACATTCGAATCGAAATCATTGAACGCAACAGCGACGAGATATATTTTGCGGTGCAAAATTTTGCTAACAGAAAAAAAGAAAAACGTAAGTTCCTCTGTAAGACGTTATTCGGGGTTACATTGCAATTTGGAGTCTAAGTGTTTGCACGATTGCAGGTCATGTTATATAGAGAAAGAAAAAAGAAAAAAAATGGTGTAAAAAAGTATTATGTGTGCTTGTAAGTGTGCTGTATGATGATTTTCGACGTTGCGATATATTTGTTTGCGATCACGTTGATAAGTCTTGTCTTACACACGTTTTAATGCACGTTGTGCTTGGACCCGCAATGAAATACACCACGTGTGTGTTTCTTCCTTAATAAGGCACTTCTTGGTTGAGATACAACGACAAGCTGGTCTAGTTTTCCCATGTTTAGAATTAAGTTTCGAGTATTAGCGCTAAATCGGTGCCATTTTTGTGCCATCGCTTTCCTTTCTTTGCAAACGGCTTAATTAGCATGGATATCAAGATAATCCGTTGATAGAATCTGATTTGAAGTAACGATTCGAAAGGAACTAAACGAAGAAGGAACGAAAAGAAAATTGGAATTCAATGAAATAAAAATGATGCCTAATTTGAAACGGAACTGTGTTAGGTAAAATTGAAAATACAGTCAACGAATTGATCGGGCTAATAGCACTGTTGCTTCAATTATCAATCACACTCCTCATGGTCCTAAGATCGGAGAACGAAAAGAAAGTAACACGAGACGAAGCACGTGAAAGACGTATGAAAGAAAGACACGTATTGAAAGACCTAGTTTGTCGCACTCGTTTAAAAAAATCTTACTCACAAGAATTGCACACAAGAAGTAGCGTACAATCGGTGTTCACTCGTTTGTTGACGCGAATAAATATGCGAATTACAGAGTCGATTTGATTTGTATATGTACACGGTGAGCCCGAGGTTCGTGCGAGGGCAGCTGCGTTTACGCGGAAACGAGATCATAGATCTATGGATCTTATTGCTTTGTTTTCACCGGCGCTAAATCGATCAACGATCAGGCCACTTTCATTTCTCGTAAACGCTAATGTCCTTCGCGGCGATTATTGTTATTATACGAACGAACTCAAGACGGCATGGTATACAAGACTAAGAACAAGACCTAAAATGGGGACATAATATTTTATAACTCAACTTTTGTACAGAATAAATAAATACTTGTACTGTGGACCAATATTTCTTTTATTTCATTGACATGCCATGGCTAGCACAACCGAAGACATGGAATGCAATTTTTCTTAATAAACGTAGAAAAAATAAATCACCACAAAGTTATAAAATACTAAACAGCGCTTTTCTTTAATGCATAAAAAGATTCATTCTATACATATTTATATACACATTCTTTATGACAAATTTCATTGATTCATTAAAATACATATATCCCTTTTTCTTATTATATAAATTATTTGTTTTTCGTTTGAATTAACGGTACTATAACAATACTATTCTTTGCTTCCGGGATACGCCACCATCTTCCAAGCCTATGCTCTTGACCGACCCCAGCGATAAGATGAGTTCCATCCGGAGTAAAGCATAGCGCGTTTATAAAACCTATTAACTGAATTTCAAATAGTGGATCCAGTGACCTGAAGGAGTCACCGCACTGCCATAATTTAATGATTCCATTCCGCGATCCTACAGTATAGCAATTATTAAATACAGAATAATAATTATCATTTTTTTTGAAAAAAGAAAAGATTTACCTGATGCAACTAAATCTGTATTAAGTAAAGTAGCTATACTAGAAATCCACATTGGTTGATTATTACTTTCATCTTTACCATGTGCGTCCGCTACCGAGCATAAAGGCTTTTTCTTTAAACAACCCCAAACACATAACTGCCCATCATCTCCGCAGCTAAAAAAGTTTTCTTCATTTATGAGCTTCACACAGTCTATACTACCACCGTGCCCATTAAATATGAGCTGCGATTCTTCGATGATTTTCCAAATTCGAACCGTTCCATCAAAACCGCCACTGGTTATAGCTCTTTCCCTCGCGAGGGCGTCAATTGATGTAATGCTACTTTGGTGCCCGAATCTAACAGAAAATGTTAATACCATATTGAAGAATTTTATAGTACATTTAAACAAAGGATACTTACAAGGACTCTACATATGCCATATCATCTAAATTCCATACTTTTACACTTCTATCCTCAGAAGCTGAATATAATGTATGTGTACCTTTGCGAAAAACTAAACCAGTTACACTGCCTCTGTGACCTTGTAAATTCTTTACGTGATCCAAGGTATCTCCAGAAAATACCTTAATCTCTTTACAGCCACTATCTCCTACTACCTTTAACCATAAAAGTTCAGGTTCAGATATAGTTATAAGTATAGTACCGAACGTGGTAGGTGTCCGCACGGAAAATGGCGATGCCTCCCCACCCGTAGGGTTCCCGGGTATAAAATTCTTTTATAGTCTTACCAAAAATTTACCGTCAGTGCTAATGGCCATGCACTGTACGCATTTTATTCCATCTTGTGCTTTCTTTTTTCTTTTAATAACTTTTAACTTTGTTCTATCTTTTAAAGACCCTATAACAAAAATTATTATAAACCATCTATCCAGTCATAAAATTCAACATGACATACATTTAACCAAACCACCATCCTTTGAACCAGAATATAAGAAATTTCCATTGCTTGAAAGGCATAAACAAGTTATTGAACCTTTATGTTCTTTGCATTTCAGGATAATTGGTTCACCATGACTAATATAATTTGAAGCTACTGTCTTTCGTAACCTTCCTTTTTCTTCCAAATATTCTTCATGTAAACGTTTTGTTACTGCTCCCTGTTCAAATTCTGTCCTATCCCTTTCTATATTTTATCAAAATAATATTAAAATGTGATAAGATAAAACATCTAACAAATACTTTAACAAAAATTCACCTTCTTCCTCTATCTGTTCAAGATATTTCTTTGCAAGTCTTATACGCTTTTCCTGGGCAGTTTCTTCTTCTTCTTCTTCACTCTCATACTTTTCATGTCTATAAAATATCAGGAACAAGGTGTTAAAACAAATTATAAATTCATATTTAGTAGCATACAGATACCTCTGATTTTCTTCTGCAAGTTCTTCATCTGTACTAGCAATACTTTCATTGTCATCAGTCATAGGTTTCTTTGCATCCTTCTTTCCTTTTGTAGATCCACCATGACCGTTGAACTAATATTTCATTACAAACATTATTTGTATAGATATTTATTTACAAAACTGCGTATGCAAATGAATATATAAATTTTCCATTGACTTTATAACAAAAAAAGATACCTTTCTTTTAGTTCCACTGCCACCTTGTTTATTTCGAATAAAAAATGACATGGTGCCTATTTTAAATATACGTTTTGAACATTTAACCTAACTTAAAACAAGCACATGGCATGCTCTCGGGAGGCTTTGAATTTATGTTTTAAGAACGAACGCCCTCTGCTCTATCCAGTAACTATAGATATAGAAAGAATAGACGTGTCTTTATTCTGGAGGGTCGTGTCTTTGGGGTATGAAACACCCCCAGGCTCACCTAGGGCTAACTGACCTATGTATGTATGTACATACATACATGAAGCGAGCCGGAAGGAATAGTAAAATATGATTATTTTTAATTTTCTTAGTGTATGTCGTTTGTAAATCGTTTGTGATTGATTGTGAGTCTGTTTTTAACGTTTGTGACAAATTAGTTCTTTTATAATTAGCAATTTTATTTCAATCATGATGTGAGCCGAAACTTTTTAGTAATTTTTTATAATAAACAGATTTTGTGATAACTGATAACTGTAATGATTGGAAATCGTTTGTGATTTACAAATATATCATTCTCATTGCTTGTGAGTGAATAATTTCTTAATTATTTACAAGTTTGTTTTATAATAAATAATTGTAGTGCGCATCCTTTACAGATCCGGTCGTACCCATCACTACCTCGAACAAGTGAGTTTCACGATTTGTTCGTTTTTAGGTCTTATATTTCGCTAGATCCGGTCGTATCTATCACTATTCCGAACCAGTAAGTTTCACGATTTGTTTGTTTTTCGTTCTTATATTTCGCTAGATCCGCTCAAACCCATCACTATTCCGAACAAGTGAGTTTCACGATTTGTTCGTTTTTCGTTCTTATATTTCGCTAGTTGCTTCGGGGTCCTTGAAACCCCAAGTAGCATAATATCGGTGTCACCGGTTCCTCGGGGTCTCAGACACCCCGAATGCAGTAGTGTCGGTAAGCAAAGTGTCTACGGTGCTACGGGGTCCTTAGCACCCCGGATGGTATAATATTGGTATGCAAAGATACTCACCGGTGTTTTGGGGTCCTTAATACCCCAATATGATATCAGGGCGGTACGTAGAGATAGTGACTGGTGCATCGGGGTCCTTAGCACCCCGGATGGTATAATATTGGTATGCAGAGATACTAACTCGCTGGTGTTTCGGGTTCCTTAAGACCCCAATATGATATCAGGGCGGTACGTAGAGATAGTGACTGGTGCTTCGGGGTCCTTAGCACCCCGGGTGGTATAGGTATGCAGAGATACTCGCTGGTGTTTCGGGTTCCTTAAGACCCCAGTATGATATCAAGGCGGTACGTAGAGATAGTGACTGGTGCTTCGGGGTCCTTAGCACCCCGGGTGGTATAGGTATGCAGAGATACTCGCTGGTGTTTCGGGTTCCTTAAGACCCCAATATGATATCAAGGCGGTACGCAAAGGGCGTTATTGGCGCAGCGGGGTCCCCTACACCCCAGGATGAAATCAGGTCCGTATGAAGAGGGCACAACCAATATAATAATTGTCCTTTAATATTTTCCAGAGTTAATTTAATTTATTTCTTTTATTTTTTTTTGCTTATTGAATAAGCTCATCGAAGGGGAATAACATTTATGATTACATCCCCCTTCTGGGTCTCAGCCGAAGACAGCATTCCTTACATCCCTGCATTCCTTAGATTCCTGCAACCCTTAACTACCTTTTTATTTATTTTTTTTTTTTATTTAACGTGGTGGAAATCTTCAGAAAGACACCTTCAGCCCCCCTGGGGAAAGGCCGGAGGTAGTGTGGGATTTTTACCCACTAAAACCACCACGGTGGCCTGCACTAGGGCGTTAGGGAGGGTCGTTTGACCCTCCGCCATGTGCCAAACTCTGCCGACATCGGGGGCCACATCCGATGCCGGCACTCCTCGGCCCGCGTGCAGTGGAGACCGGGGCCCCAGCCCCGGACCCCTACGGAATTCCTCTACATCCCTCGTTCCGTTACATCTCTGCATCCCTTACATCCCTGCATTCTTTTAACCCTGCATTCCTTACATCGCTTCATCCCTTACATCCCTACATTCTTTCAACGCTACATTCTTTTCATCCCTACATTCCTTACATCACTTCATCCCTTACATCCCTACATTCTTTTCATCCCTACTTTCTTTTCATCCCTACATTCCTTTCATTCCTACATTCCTTTCATCCCTACATTCCTTTCATCCCTACATTCCTTACATCTCTGTATCCCTTATAATAAATATATTATAAAGACTGCTTGAGTAAAGGTAAGTAAAGGTAAGTTAGTTTCGAAATTTTCGAAAAAATAGCGCCCCCTAGCGGCAAAAATGCAAACTAAAATTTCGATGTCGAATCAGTGCCCTCTGGTGACGAAAAAAGGAACTAAACCTTGCTCAATTTTTGGCCCTCTGGCGGAAAAAATGTGAACTAAAATTTCGATGTCGAATCAGCGCCCTCTGGCGACGAAAAAAGGAACTAAACCTTGTTCCATTTCTGGCCCTCTGGCGGCAGAAATGTGAACTATAGTTTCGATGTCGAATCAGCGCCCCCTGGTGACGAAAAAAGGAACCAAACCTTGCTCAATTTCTGGCCCTCTGGCGGCAAAAATGTGAACTATAATTTCGATGTCGAGTCAGCGCCCTCTGGTGGCGAAAAAAGGAACTAAATTTGTATAAAGTTGCAGGCCTTATAGCCGCGAAAATTTCAACTCAGTTTCAGGGGGGTACTGGGATGTATGGAATGCAGGAATATAAGTGATACAAGGATGTAAAGGATATAGGCATGTAAGGGATGCAGGGATGTAAGGGATGTAGAGATGTGAGAAATGCAGGGATGTAAGGGAAGCAGAGATGTAAGAGATGCAGGATTGCAAGGGATGAAGAGATGTAAGAATGCAGGGATGTAAGGGATGAGGAAATGTTGGGAATGTAGGGATATAAGGGATGAAGCGATGTAAGGAATGTAGGGATGGAAAGAATGTATGAATGTAAAAAAATTTGAAGGACGTGTTCAGGAGGACCTAAGGAATGGTAGTCTGATCCTTATATTATCCAAATCGTCAAGATCGGTAAGTAGTTGAGTAGTTTGCACCAAATGTGCATGTAGAAATGGTACTCCGCCGAAAAACGGGAGTGCACCCACTTTTATGTTTGACCTTCCGAAGGTAGACAGGTACACTGATATGCGTCGGCGCAAAGCGGCATATAAATAATATAGGGTACTACACACACTATAGTATCTAAACTGTCTTCTCGACTCGTGTCAGAAGTCAGAAGTGGTTAGAAGGCCATATGTCTATTTCTAACAATACTGTGCCGTCATCCCTAGCAATGCGTTAAATAAAATTGTTTACTTTTATTTAAAAATTAGTATATGATAAATTTATCTGTGTAGCATTTTTTATTAATAATAAAAATGACATATTTAAGTTCATGGGAAGAATTTGAAAAAGGTGCCGAGAGGTTATATCTTCAAGATCCACTGAAGGTGTGATTTATTTAATACTACAACAATTATTTCAATTTATTTTTATCATATAATATTATAAGTTTCTTACAATTCATAAAAATGATATTATATACATATATTTCATTCAGTAATTAAAAGAAAACTTGGCAGGTTATAATTGACGTTTGAATATGATACGTCATGTAAATGTTGCAAAAAGTTTACTTTAATAACTTTTTTAAGTAAAAAGTGATCAAATAATATATCCAATGTTTGGAACATAGGCAATGTATAAATATTGAAAATATATTTATGTAAAATATTTTGTTTGTTTTAATATTAAAGGTAGAGTCAATGAAATTTATAGGAATATTATATTTTCTTTATAAATAGTTTAATGATCAATGATTATAAGTTTATAATTTATGTTTTGTTAATGTAGGCTCGGTACACAATGAAGTATTGCCATACTAAAGGTGTCTTATGTCTAAAACTTACAGATAATCGAACAGTAAGTTCTGTCCTTGTGTAACTTACCTTACTAACTCTTAAAGAACTATATATAAATAACAAAATTGTGATTTTATTTTTCAGTGTCTACAGTACAGAACAGAGATAGCACAAGATTTAAAGAAGATGGAAAAATTTATAGGAAATCTTATGAGGCACATGGCTTCTAAAGAGAGCTAAATAAGGGACTAGATAAGATTAGGGACACTTTTTTAATCAAGGATTAAAAGTGCTGCGCATTTAATTCACTGTTTATGTTGTTCCATTTCATAAGATTCAGCGACTGATGGGATTATAGATATTTAATTTGAATGAGGTATAAAAAACTTTCTTAAATATACAATATGTGCATAAATGTCTATTTTTTATTTATTTAAAGCTTAATGCTCATTTCGGGCGGTTCCGTTGTCTCCTTGTTAAAGTTCTGAAACAGTACAAAGTTAAATGTATCGTAGTACGAACGAAAATCGATGTGATAATAAATTTTCCAAACAAATTATTCTTAGAATTTGTACGAAAAAAACCAGTACTTTCCAGAAAATGTAATCATCTAATTCCAACAATAAGAAGAATACTTAGCAGAGTATAATGCAATTGTTATTAATGAAGCCAGATTCAATTGTAATTTGTAACTGAATATTATTATAAGAGAGAAGCACGAAGCAATGAAAAGAAGCACTTACGATATAATGGGCTGAAGAACAGCGTCCAGAGTAGTATCAACAGGAGGGTAGATTTCTTGATTTGAAGACAATTCATAGCGTACCTCTCCCCCTAATTGCATTTGCGGCTATACCAAACAAAACTATTTTACTAATTTACTAGGCAGAAAATTTTAGAATACAACACACTACATTCTAGTAACAACATTTATTAGAATATAATAAAATGCTGTGACTAGCAAAGAAAGAAATAGCAAGCCTTAACCACGTGTACGTATTTGTAAATAAGCGCTTAGTATCTCTAAAAGATTTTTCTATAATGAGTGCAATTTTAATAAAGATGATTTTATATCGGTGATTCAAAATCATGATTATCTTTTATTCTTTCTCAGAAGCAATAAGCTTAAACTACATAAAGCGCAAAAGTGTTACTCATTACTTAAAATAACGGCATAAATAAACGAAGAACATATATGAAATGTAAAAGTAATGAGTTTCACTGGAAAACAAATGATTTAAGAAATAGAAGCGTAAAAATACGTACTACACGAGTAGGTTTAGCGCTGTCGACAGAGCTTGAGCAGCAGCTTGAAAATTCCTGCGGTGTACTTTCCCCGAGACCACTGTCCACGTTATTTCCTATCAATATTCTGTTGTTACGAATATAATAAAAGTCCTTCCTCATATTGCACTCGCTCCTACTACCGTCGTAGTACTTTGTCTCGATATGACTCGGCCTTGTTGGCGGCAAATTATAACTTCCGTCTCGACAATGTTGTATCACTCTTCTGTTTCGTTTGCCAACGGATCCGATTGTTCTGAAAGTGATTCCTTGACAGTCTTCGATATCACGTCAAATTTCAAGCACATCCCTGATCGGACAAAACCATTCCGACATCGATGCAATACACGTTTTAGTTCACCAAACGTTCAAACAATTGTTAATACACACTACGAGCCATATACATATATTGCATTCCTTAGCGATACAACATTTTTATTCAAATAACAATGCTAATTTTCACGCAAACAACATGTTCCATTCGTCAATCAGTTTTGTAAGTTCGCCAAATAAACATATGTATTTCCAGGTCTACAGTATTTTAAGAATACCTAAAAAAATAAAGGATTAAGGAATTCGAACGAACTGGCACAATAAATAAACTTGCATCGATCGTTGGGAATCTATGAGAAATACTTTGACACTCCCAGATACCTATATTTGTACAACAAGTACACACGGATGCATGGCACACAAATAATACATAAAACACGTACAAATGCTACGATTTTTAAGTCCTTACTTCCACGGAATAGCAACGAGTAATTTCCATGGAATAGCAGAAAGCATCAGTGGGTGCCAGCCAGGAAATAAATAAACAGGTGCGACAAGCTGTTAATCTCATCGATTTATTAAGGACCTATCATGCTTCAAATAAATAATAGGGGGCATGCTTAAGATCACGTACATGCTCTAAATAAATTAAAAAAAAAAAAAAGACACACATGCAAAGGGGTAGTTTTCAAACAATGACTACGGATCCTGTCTCATCCTCCAGCGGAGGAGGATGACTGTGGATGTTGCAGCTCGTCTTGAGATCATCGTACCTAGGTAGGGACGACGTATCTGCATCGTCCAATCGGGAATTGCTAGACTGTAGCGTACATTGTTGTGCAGACTGCGATTGAACCACGGTGTATGGTATCTCCCGACGTTGTTGTTCGCTCATTCCTGTGGTATCTATTAAACCGAATTCCAAATGCCTAAAAAAATCGATCAATAACATCAATAATTTAAATTTTTCTGACGTTATCTCAAAGGTAACTCCATGGACTTACTTTCTAAGCTCGTCCGGCAGTGGTTGTTTCTGTGAAGGACTTCTATGTCTACTCCTATGCCTTCTCCTCGGCTCCGTATGGCTTACCTGCATAATAGAAGACATAAATGAAAAGAAAAGAATATTTCAAAACGCTCGAAGAAACAATAAACGTGTCTGGAATGTCGAATACAAGTTTGTCATTGAAACTTACTACAGCTCGTTGCACACCTTCGCCCTTCCGCTTCTGTGCCTCCCTCCATTGCGGTTCCGAGTCCACCAATTCGTGTCTGAAAAGATTCACAGGCGTACACGTGCAAGATAATAATGTATAACCACGAAGGGTGCATTTATTAATGGAACCGTGATAAACTAAACTTGTATCATTTTTACTCATACGGTTCGTTTTCCATTGAAAAAACAGGTGGGCATCGCGTGGGGAGATTTCGTTGGACGAGGTTGATATTTCCCAAGCGCATCGTCATTAAAATAATTATCACCTTTACGCGGTCTATGTACCCTACCGTGAGAGTATAATGAGTACGAGGGTTTCTTTTCCGCGCTCACGGTCGATGAACCCGCCCAAGACGTTCTGACGAGTTGTTCCGTTTTCACATGACCGTCTAAGGTGCCTTTATTACGTCAATTAATTACCAATTAAACCGGCGCGCATGTCTTAGACGCTTAATTGTCTTGACTTACGATGGCGACTGTAACGAGGTCGGATCAGAGTCTGATCGTTTCGCAAAGCAATAAATTAGCTCCGGTATCCCCGGGTTGAAGAAAAATCAAATCGAAATCAACTGTACCTAGACGAACGGGAACTTCTGTGCTTTCTGCGGTGCTTACGATGACCCGACCTGGTATCCGAGCCTCTGGATAATTCCGATTCGCAATCGGAATGACGACTGTGCCTTCGATGACTATGACTATGACTTCTTCTACGATGCCCACCGCGACTGTGACTGTCCCCTGAACTTTGGCTCTCTACCGAGCTGCTCCTTCGTTGGAGTCTGCTCAAGAGCTGGTAAAAATAAAGTTTGAAATTCGTAAGAAATTCGACAGGAAGAAATGATTAATAATTAATTAATTTATGGAACGTACTGCCGGCGCCGTTCCCGCTGAGCGGACGGACCGAGGACTAGACGAAGTATAAAGGCCTCGAGGTTGGCTCTGAGTCCAGGGCGCGCTCCTGGTGCTCCTTGGACTCGAGTTGTTCACCTGTCTCGTGGTCTGACTATTGCACAAAGCGTTACTGCCGACCGGATTGTTGCACGGGTTCGGGTTCACGCTGGCAGGTGTTTCCACGAACGGGCCGACCATTTCTTGTCCCTCCACCACGCGTCGCTGCGCCCTGCGACTCGGGGTCCTCTGGAAAATCGGCGGAGGATTCCGTCTGATAACCATGTGCTTCTCCGACCCGGACGGAGGACTGTACGAACGGAAACGGGAGTAAGGACTCAGGGGTGGCGGCCCCGTGGCCATCAAACGGAAGAACGCCTGGTGTTCCAGACAACATTTCCAGAGATGTCTGCAAGCTCCCTTTGATGGTGTTTCGAAACCGTGAGTCCTCTCCTCGGAATTCTTCTCGCTGACTCTCAGCATGAAGTATCTACCCTGGAAGAAGTCGCGAAACTGTTTTTCCGTGTCTCCAAATTTTAATATATTCACTTACCTTATAATAGATTTTATTGATTCGAGGCCAATAATAATTTCCCACTTTGGTCTTGTTTCGTAACAGAATTATCCCGCTCGGAGTGAGGCCCAGAAAATATTCTACGCTGTCCTCCCCCTGTAAGATTATAGGGTTCTTAGGAGTTGAACGTGTCTCGTTGCGACGGCAAGGGGCTTTGTTAATTGGGAAAAGCAAATACTCACCAAGACGGGATGCAAATCGACCCCATACATCTCCAGCCATTTCACTTTGTCCAGATAATTCAACTCCGCTGCGGAGGGTAATTGTCCTCTGAAAAACAGCTCATTGTTACCCTAAATTATCACTGCTCCAGTGTTATCCACTCAAGGATAATGGCTCTAATCTAAATAGAAACGACACGCTTCCTAAGCTAAACAAAAGTGAAACTTACACGAGAGTTTTATGAAGTTCCACTATACGATTTTCCAATTCCGTAGTTTGATTCGCTAAGAAACGAAACTCGGTTACGTAGCCCACGGAATGTCGCCTTGGGTCGTAGTCCCCGAGTTCCGCTGAAAAAAGGAAAAATTACTTTATTTGAAGAAACAAAAAAAACGGTACAAAATAGCCTGATTGCGAAATCAAGATTTCAGGAAATTAATCGGGTTCAATTTGCACCGACGGAATTTCGATCCTCTCGATTTGTCCCCGAGGTTTCCCCGCCCCCAGAGACGGTGGCCGTCGATTCCCATAGGGTGCGCGATAGAAATGCCCTCCAGAAATCATCCTAGTCGGTTAATTGAATCACTGACTTTGATGAATATCGGCTCCGACCGAAGCGAGGGGCACTTTATTTTCTCGTCGGTTCTACTCGGAGAAGCCAGCACTCTGTCGTCGCCGGCTTCTTGCATGCTCATTCGCTCGTGTAATTACGAGACCGCGAAACGATCGGTCGATCCGTATTATACGCGAAACGCGAACTCATAGATCCTGGAACTTTTGCCACCGCCGCCGGGCTGGTTGCATAAAAACAGCTCGTCTTGGCACGTGGAAAATGACCACGGACAGGAATGCGAGTCGTTTGATACGAGTAAAATCGACGGCTATACAGTTTGCGTAATTAAAACCTTTAGATTCCGGTTCTCCACAACAAGGCATTTTTGTCATACTTTAAGCTTCAGAACGATGTAGCATAAATGCTATTTTGCACCACCTTTATGTCATGAAATTGTATCAGAATTTTTACGTTTCAAAATTTCTATGTTGGCGCCTTTTTTCTTATAGTAGCGCCCCCAATGTTGATGGAGTGAACTAAAAATCGAAGTATTTTTTGCGCTCCCTATCGGAGAAATGAAAAGGCTCATTTTTGACACTAGACGGTAGATGGCGGCACGTATTTTTCGAAATTTTTTCGAAATTTTCAAAATTGGTGTATACAAAAATAAAGCCTCTAATAAAAATATGTCACTCTACATTTTTCTATTTTTGCACCTCCTTATATCCACTCCCTTTGTACTGCCAAGGCTGAGACACCCTGTATATTATAATAAGTAACGATTTGAATGGACATCCTTGCTTCCACCTTCATCCCAACGTATCGTTATTAAAAACTATTGTTTTAATCGCTTCACTGGTGGACCCTGGGAAAAGGGTTAAATTTCGTGCCACGATTCCTATTATCCTGCTTCAATGGAGCGAAGAAAACGACGGGTCGAAATTAATTCACAAAACGAAAGAGCACCCTAGAAACGAATCCTCCGGATACAAAAGACCCCGAGGAGACGGAGAAGTTCGCGAGAAATAATGGGATTCACCGGGTAAGATTTCGAGCAGAAAGAATGCCTAAAGGTGTTTCCGTCGCCGTTGTAATGGCATCGCGCCCAGATCCGGCGAGCTATCTTGTTTGAGATCTCCGTAAATGCTGGACAACGCTCTCACCACTGTGAGTTCTATTTCCATTTGCAAAATGGTCTACTTATATCCGGAGTAACTCCAATATTTGCGCAAGACGAACAAGAAAGGTTATGCTAGCACCCTGTTGAACCGGATAGAGAACTCGAGCGGACTGGTAGCGGACGAAGAGTGCGTGTTACAGAGAGAAGAAAATGCGCGAAAGCCCGCACGTTGTCCGCCTCCGTTTCATTTTCGCCCGTGCAGGCACGGTTCAGTGCTCCGCAAAAAAACGCGTATCCCGTAGCGGAGGGTGGAAACCGCTCGCGATCCTCCTCGTTGCCGGCTTAATTAATATTCGTCGTTAAACTGTCCTCGCTGGGAAATTACTTTGCGATGCTGAACGACCGTGTAATTGCGTCCGCCGTATAACGATGAACGTTTTTCTGTTACTTCTATTTTTTTTTTTTTTTTCTTTTAACGGCGGAAAGAGGTATCGTTAATTGCTTCACGTTGCAGCGGGCAAGAAAAGAGTAACGGAATTTCTGGGAAAACGAAGGCGGATTTATGCTACGGCGGTACCGAGAGAAAGAGCGTTCCGAGTGGGGGTGGCGCGAAAGAAACGCAGCCGAGAAAGTCGAACACGTAAAATTATGTTGTTCGAGATGTTGCAATCCATCCCATCGGCGGGTAGGTGATCTCATCCGCGCGGCGGACCGCACGCGTATTCAGAGAGAGGTTTATCTCCATTTCGCGAAGCAAAACGCGTGCCGTGTACTCCGCTCCTCGTCTCTCTGTCTTTCACCTGGCTTTTATCCGTCTCTGTTTCCGTTGTCAACGGGCACCGGGACTGAACACGAATAAAGGGCATTCATTTCGTCCCTTTTCACAGCGATGAGACGCAAACATTCTACCCCTTTCTCTATTTGCACGACTTTGAATCTCGCAGCAGATAACTAACGCGCGGACCTGTAGCCTCCTTCTGCCGTTTCGCGTCTTCTGCCCGAGTCAAACGTCAACGCGATCCGCCTCCACGAAGATTTTCAACCCTTTCGTCAACACTATCATCAAAATGGTGTTTTTATCTAGGCTCATTCGAGTCAACCAGTCGCTGTATCATTTTATTCCCGTACCAGTAGTAATACAATTCAATTGAAACGTACGCGAGCGTAGAAGGGAATAAATACTTTTAGCAAGATTGCAAAGGGAGAAAAGTTGAAAGTACTTTGCAAAAGTTTAACGCGTTACGTAGACGTCTCTTTTCGTCGGTGAAATTGAAATCACATGGCGTTCAAAGGTACCGCGAATCTTTTTAAATCGCTTTTCTCCTGCCTTCTTTCTTGGAAACTTTCCGTCTACTCTCAGGACAAGGAATTTTAGAACTCTTCCTTTACGACTAAACCTCGCTCTTCTCTACTTTTATTTCGCGTTATTTAAACTTTCGGTACTAAACGATGATATTGCGTTAAGAAGTTGTTGAAAGGCACAGAATACGTAACAATACATCGTTGCTGAGTACACAGGGATGCTCTTCTAATTAGCAAGCCATGAATTCTTGCTAACGTGGGGTTGACTCTAGCTTGATCAAATGCTACAACTACAAACACAAACAGAGACCGAAATCCACTTGCTGCTAGTCAGAGAACTGTATACTCGACAAAATTTCTAAGTAAACACTTTTCCTACTAAATTTAACCCATCATTTCCGTTCGGGCTATAAGAATTTCATAAAAATTGCCGTAGTAAAAAGACCCCCATCGTAGAAAATACAGAGTTCTAAACACGAGAGTAAACTCGGCTCGAAGCTAATCACTGGTCGTTCGAAAATTGATGCGATCACCGTGATCTGGAAACTTGTATCTTAGGAGACAGGCATCCAATAATTAATGACAGTTTATCATCGGTAATCACCGGGGAACCCGTTTCACCGGATCGTATGTAACATTTTCGAGCGTTATACAAGCGTACTCCTACCTGTTTTTCGCATAATACCCCGAAGACACGAAGCAGAACAACTTCTTTTGCATGTAGGCGTTCAAGGACACTTGCGGTAGGAATCGTACCGGAAGATGAGGAGTCGTTGCCAGCGAAACAAAAGGATTTACGGCTCATTTTCAGAATTATACCTGGCACCTCTAATGAGAGGATAGCACTCGCCGGCTATTTCGAATTTACGGTGGTAAATTGTCTTTCCAAGATTGCTCTGTTGCTTATTCGAATAAAAAAAAAAAATATTTGTTCTTCTAATAAATTAATACAAATAGAAATCGTTTCAAATTTTAATATTGCAACGGTACTGTAAGCTCGTTTGACCTTGGAAAGATTAATATCCAGGATTTAATTAAAGTCACCAATTTTAATCATAACCTTCATTAGAGAAGGTAATAACGTTCAGGCGGCTGACGGAAGCAGCGTTGCAAAAAGAAATCGAGCATTAACCGTCTGATTGATTGCCCTCGCCACGTTCGCTTCCTTGATGTTTCACGTGATGCGTTTATTTAAGAAATAACACGTTTTCCACTCGGGAAATTCGAAGGGAAATCAGGGAAATATTGATTGAATAAAATTGTACACTTACATTGAACGACGTAGGCGCCCAGTTCCGCGGCCAAATCGAAAGAAACTGGCAGTCTTCCTTGCAGAATGTCCTGCTTCACTTGCAGGAAGAACTGGTACCTGCGGAGCGAAGAAACATCATTTTTATCGAACGCAGGAATATACGGTGTCCCCTTTGATCGTGCTACGAGATATATTTTGCCGGTACGGTTAATGACGTGTGACACGTACGTTATGCAAGTAAAGCAAAAGAAGGCGAGGAAGAAACCGAAGAAGACGAAGGGGCGGAAGGGAAAAAGGAGAAGTTGCGACGGGGTCAGCCCTTGTGGCTTGTCTCGCCACGAACTTCGGTTTTACCATCGTTGCCCTCGCGGTTTCTCCTCTTGTAAAGTCATCGTTAAAGGATTTCTCAATTTGCTTTTTCTTTTCCTTTCTTTCGCACTTTACCATTCGTTGCAGCCTTTCCCTCTCTCTTACTCTCTTTTCCTTGATGTCACTATCCGTCTCGCTCGTGCGCCGACCTATCCCTTCGCACGCAGATTTCTTTCTGCCAGCTCACCTCTTTTCTTCTCTTCGCTTTTTCCTCATTTTCTACCTGCCAATCTCTACGTCGCTTCTTTCTTTGCTCATCCGACAGACTCGTTTTCATTTTTCCAACCGAACGAGATATTCCTCTTTCGTTCTCCGTCTTATCAAGGGAACCGTACAACTTTCCTCGTAAATCTTCCTGGAAGAAATTTCGAATTTTCGAGGAATATTCAAATTTGATTAAGCGCTTAATAAACAGCGAGCTTTGGTCGTCGCATGATAAACTCACCTATTTCACTTTCTTCATACACACGATTCCCAAACGGAGTTTATTAACGCGTGAATAATTTCTTAACCGACTGTGAATCCTGCGCAGCCAGAAGGAATCCCGGAGAGACTTTTCCCTCTTTTCAATTCTGTTTCTTCGCCCGACGAATCTTATCCCTTTTCTTCCCCTTCCGGCCCGCTCGATGCAAGGATTACCCGCGAAATTCCTTTTAGGGTAATTCCGTAAGATATACCGCCGCTCCGACGTTTTTCTCGTCCTCGCGTGTCTTGGCTGTTACGCTGAATCGCGGACGTAACTCCGCTTCGTACCCTTCGTTCGCCGTTTCTTTCCCGGGCAAACAACCGGAAGAAATTCAATATATTATCGTCGAATCATTAAAATCTCATTCATTAAGCCGCTTCTTTCCTTCGAGGGATTCCTCCGCTTTTCTTTCACCTCTGTCAGCTGTCACCTTTATCCTCAAATGGCGGACCATGGAGAGAGCCATGATTTTAATTTAATTCCGTATTTTGTATTATTTTCATTTTCTAAATTTTACACTTACGTTTCTTTAAAAATTATTCTTTCAATATATTTAACTTTTATTTTTAATACTCTTGTATAGAATTTATAAGTTTAATCAACCTCCCTTTCTTACATTTCTCTTTTTCTTTTCTATACGCAATTTCGAACGGTTATTATCCCTTTCTCTCTCGACGACCTTATTCTTGCAAATTTTTTTTTTTTTTTTTGACGGGTATCCACGTTACGGGATCGCAAAGTACCGCGCTTATTAAGCTGACGCTGAGGCGTACCATAAATCTGCGCGGGTTATTAAGGAATTGTCAATTCGTTTTCCTGCCCTCTTTCTCATTTTTCAACCCCCGTGATGAAGACGTCTTCCACGTTTCGCCGTTTCCTCTCGCCGCATTTCTTGCCGCGGTCTTTTTCATTCCTCTTCATGCCCCGAGTCAGCGAACCGAGGCTGATCCCGCTTCCATTTACATCGCGTTTCCAGCATTCTCGGTTACCCTGCTTTTTTTGCGCCTCCACGTAAACTATGCAAAGTAAATACCGGTCGCACGCGATCCCAAAGAAGCTACAATCTCGAACCGTTCCGAGACGGTTAACAAAGTTTTTGCAAGCAGTTACGTTCATTCTTTCCTACGTTTTTCTTTCACTTTTCGCCGGCCACTCTTCCTTTCTTCAGGTATGCACTCGTTCACGGTTTCCTTTGTCTTGTTCTCCTGAATCTGCCTTCGCTTTTATCCCTAGCCTTTTCAACTTCCATTCAGATTTTTATTCCGCTATTATTTATTCATCGTGGCAATTGCCTTTTCTTCTAGATGATATTCCATGCTGGTCTTCTCGTTCAATACCATCGAATTAGTGTAAAGAATTTTTCAATGAAAAATTCAAGCTGTTACTCAAGAATGATTATTATTTTTTACGTAGACGTCAAAGGAATTGACGTCTCCCTTTTTCGTACAGTTCATCGCCTCTTCCTTCTCGATTTTCAGCCTCGTTCCAGCGGCTTGGTCGCGCGTGCAGGCAACGCTTGCCGAAGCGGCGATAACGCGGCAAGCGGATAAAACGTACGCACCGACGATTTCGACGCATTCAGAATTCTCAAGCGTTACCAGACGACTCTGGAATTCCCTGGATTTCGACGCCGTGCAAGAATCGTGACGTTGAGCGAAAATCTTCCGCATTATCGAGCTTCGCGCTAAATTTCACGGCTAACGAAAACGTTTTTCTGTTACCTCAAGTTCGACGATCGCTAACAGGAAAATGCAGTCTCATTGAATACGTGCACGAGAGGAATAAGCAAACATTACAGTTGTAGTGTTGGATGAAATTCGGATCGTGTTAATGAAACTATAAAGAAGAAATATCATATTAAATTCTGTAACATTACAGGTACTTTTGCAACAACTTCGCTATATCTAAAAAACATCAAACAATATTTTTCTCGAAACTAACATTTATCACTGAACCCTTTCTTCCATCCCATCCTACGATTATTCCATTTTTTTCAAAATACTTTCTGTCTACCCAGCTCTATCCAAAGAAGTTATTCCCCCTAGATCCGTCAGTCGCGAAGAAAATCCGCTTAAAATATCAGCGACGCGAAGTGGTGTTCGCCACAAATCCAGCGAATATCACAGTTAAAGACGGTTTTCACGCGAGGCGCAGAGGAAATCTGTCGCGATATCAATTCATCCCACTTAATTATTACGAAGCTGCAGGCGATTATCCGGGAGGATCCCGTTGGTGTTCAGAACCTAAGCACCCAGCTCGCCCATTCGGTGTCGCGTCGTATAGGCTCGTTGAGCCTTCTCCTGACGTATCTTTTTGCATTTGCGACACACATACAGAGACGCCATAAAAGCACGTGTGCTGGGAGGCAAAATCGGTGAACAGCTTCGGCGACAGAGCCTTATCCTTTCCTGTCCCCCGGTCGCCTCCGCTCGGAGCAGGGATTTTATGTCTCGTGGTCCAGTCGTACTGTCTGCCTCTCGTATCCTGTTATATTGTACCATGGAACAGCCCGGGAATTTCTGTCGCGTTAAGGACACTTCACACCGACATTCGGATTTACCAATCTTCCTCACGGTTGTCACGAGACAAGGGTCTAAGCATTTTTTTTTTATCAGCGCTAACATCTAACTCGCCCCGACTCGCGAAAGACGGTAAAGCTAGTAATATCGGAGTTGCTCGATTTAATTAAATTGAACGAACAAAGAGGCTAAAACCGTAGTTACCTTTTTATTTTCTATCAAATTCAGCGGCAAATTCAATTACTTTGCCGGAAGGTTCGGTATGAGAGTTGGAAGACCACTTGGCCAACATTCGCGTTATCGATCTCTATATTGCGTTACCAATTACCAGATATTGCACCGGCAACTATCGTGGAAACCGACGTACGCGAAGTATGCGAATGTCTGCGAATACCGATGGAAGCTAGGATACGGTATTGCTACGTCAATGAAACGTCGTCGAGAGGACGTGGAAGCCGGAGAAGAAGGAAGTTACGATGCTCGCTAGAATCGTGGGCGGACATTAGTATTATAACGATAGGCGAACAGTTCGAAATGCCTTCGCGTACAGGGGCTACCGTGAAAGGCCGTATAACATGATTTTCTGCTCTCGAACGATCGTAAACTAACGCGGAGATATTATCAATTATAAAAAGGAACGCTGCTCGCTCGTGGAACAATAAGTGTATCCGCAGTATCGAGCTTATTAATATGATCTTATAGCAACAACACGTTCACAATCAAACAAGATGCCGAGGGGCAAATAGTTTATTCTTCATTCTTCTGGACCGAAAAGGAATTCGTAACACAATACGCGAATATAAAGTGTTGAAACAGATAAGGACTATGAGAACCCGTCTGGCTCGAGGATTTTTGCTCTTTGCCAGTCAGTCAATTCAAAGCTTCGAATTCAATTAAACATATATAGGTATTTTTAATTTTCATTTTTATTATCACCCTGCTTCCCAAAACCAATAGAGCTAATTTTAATTTTAACGATATAACAATCATCAGGAGGAGATCCTGATTCTCTAACCAGTTTCTTTTTTTCTAATTTTGCTTTCAAGCCAACTATTAAGGGTGAAATAAAAAGCATCGATTCGAAGGCTTTGAACACGCCTTTCGTACAGGATATTTTCCACCTCGAATCGTCGTTTCCATTTTACAACCCTAGAATCGCGAGGCAAATCGCATGATCGCAGGATCGTTGTATTTCAATCGCCATTAAAGCTCCGCTTTCCCTTGAAATCCAATACGCCAGTGTCTCATTAGTTGTGTTATTTATACGTTATTTTCCGAGCTTAGATATCCCGTGGCTCGCTCATTATGCAATGGTTTCGAAGCTGCAACCACAAGGGGCCTCGACAAGCGTCCATCGATTGCTCATACTCGAGATAAAGGATGAACGTATTTGCATATAGATTGAGTTCCTCCGTTTCTAGAGATGTCGTATTTTTTTCTCTCTTTCCCCTTTTCTTTTTCATGCCGGATGATGCGGCTCTACTACTGAATCAGCGGAACTCGACCATTCGATCCGCTGCGAAATCTTGAATAATGAACGACAGCTTCTTCTTCTGTCACCGTTTAACGTTTTAATCCCTAATTCGACGGGTCGTTTCTACCGGTTATTCGCGAGAAACGTAAGTCCACGTAACTTATGAGTTTGAATTATTTAAATTTTACACCTACCACCAGAGGACGTTTGCGACCTTGTCGTATTCGAAACGATGGGAAATTAAGGATAAAATAAGTTTGTAAGAAGAACTACTTAAGGAAACAGGTTTTTCTTTAAGAATCGCAATTATTAAAATTGTCGATGCTGTGAGAATATTTTCATAAGATGGTTTCATGGGGGGGAAAAAGAAAGAAAACTGAAACAGCCCTGGCTGAGAATCACCGCAATTCCAGATGCACGATTTGAAGATTTCCATAAGAAAACGATACTTTGCATTCAAATAACGCAATAACAAAATTGTCCTGCTCGTGAAAGCAATCGTACGACTCGAAGGATTTTATCGCTTATGGATCTCGACGGTAAATACGCGTAACGAATTCGTGTCTGTTCGATAAATGAAACGAAAATTAACTAGCCAATCGTTGATCGTCGCGATACGCGCTCTAAGAAGCGTTAAATCCGCTCGCGAAACGCTCCTCGATCACGCGGAAACGGATCTCGAATATTTCAGATGGAACAAGTCGATAGTTGTGCCTCGAAGAAACACGGCGAATGATCGATACCAGCTACGGCAGGCCCGATAGTCTCGAAGGAAAAAAAAAAGCACGCCGCTTTATCAAGGCGAATGAAACTTAAGGGGAACATGCATACGCGAGGAAAGTGAGATAAAAAAAAAAAAAAAAAAAATTGGAAGAGGAAAGAGGCGATCGCTGAAGGCGAAAAACGGGAATCGCAGGGGTTGAGGAACTCCCTGGAGCTCGCGAGGAATCAATCGAGCCGGTTTATCGCTGGCAGAACCCTCAATTTTTCTCTAGGTTTCCATTAAAAAAGGCGGCCGTGCAGCCGGCGCTCGCTTACACCCCATCGACTCGTCGGCTAAATCGACCACTCTCTGATATAAGTCGCTTACTTGACTGATAAGCAGTTACGTGAAATGCCGGTAGTTTGTTAAAGTAGCTTGATAACCGTTCGCCTGGAAGGGAACGTCGATGAACCATTGAAACAATCTGTGAATTCCGAGGATAAAATTGATTTATCCTTTCCTTTCGCGTCTTATCGACCATGTAAATGGCCGAATAGAGACAGGTTCTTACATAGCAGACAATTTAGACGGCTTTTATATCGATAAGGAAACGGGAGAAAGTAGCAATAAGTACTTTGCAAAGTGTGATATACTAGTCGCATGGAGTAGACTGTTGATGATCTAGTAAAACAGGTATGGCTAACTGACGGGAAAGAAGTTAGTCATGCTTGTATTCATTTTTAAAAGAAATAAAACGAATTGCTCGACTATTTGTTTATCAAAAGAAGAGCCTTGCATTTCCGGAACGGTTGCAGCGTCGAGGAAGGAGCGTTTAAAATTCTTTCAACTCGTTCGTCGCGCTGGAATGGCGCTGAGGTTAAAAGATTTTCAGGCGTGCTCGGAGAATTTTAAGGCCAACTCATTAGGATAACGAGACAGGCATCCAGTTGCCCGTGACACGAGACCCGTGCACACGCCTGCAAACACGGCCTCTTTCGTATTCAACAGAGTCCGGACTTTCTATGCGCGCTACACAGCAACAAGTACGACCCGTTAACGTCGTCGGGGCTGATTGAGAGATTAAAAAACTCACTTCGACCATTAATTGGTGAAATCACCGGCAAATGATGCGCCGCTCTTTGAGAGGAGTTTCGTGAAACAAGCAGAAATGTGATTATTGTTTAAACTTCCCTTTTCCCTTTGCGAGCACGCCCGGTCAACTCCGTGAACCCTGTCCGCGCGATTGAATTATCAACAACGGCGATACGTTCAAAGGTAGTTAAGCGAGCAGTGAGTAGACGAGATAAATTCAATCAGCTCACCTTGTGATCTCTTCGATAAGCTTGCAAGGATCGGCCGCGTAGAATTTCACGCCGAAATAGAGGGTGTGCACATCGGAGGACGGATCACCTTTTTGAACTTTCAGCTGCTTGCCGATCTTCTTGCTCGGATCCAGCCATTGCTAAACATTCGAGAATTACATCGAAATAATTAATCCATGGCAGATCGAGCCGCGTCAAGATGACCGGAAATTGCAGACGTCCCGACATTTCCCGTGGATAATAATCCTATCCTCTTATGCCCGCAGGGCCGACGCCGATCGTCTACCTTCGAGCTGTAGTACATATGAATTTTTCAATCCTACCAAACGTAATTAACGGTAAACCGGTCGATCTTACCACCGGATCGATCGTGCTCTCCTGTCTAAGAGGACCTGCTGGCAATTTGCTTTCCGATTATAATTCGAAGCGAACGCGTTCGTGACGTGCATTAATTAGAAAAACTTCCCGGAAAAGGGGGGCAAGTAATTTCAACGGTTCTCCGGGAATAACTTTGATCTGAAAATCGATTTCTCTGCGGGCATTAGAGGGATTTCAACGAGTGATAGAAATGTTTATTTAGAAAACTGATAGAATAGCAATCTTACCGTTTGATTCCCGTGATCCAAGTAACGTAGCCCGAAGTAAGCGGTCTCCAATAAATTCAGGTGCCTGAACACTCTGTCCAACAGTTCCTGGCCGAGGTTCGAACTCTGCAAAGGAACACCGATACTTGATTTATTGCGTCAATAACAATGTCGACGTAGCGACAAGAAACGAAATTACTTCCTGTACCGACCCACATTAGTATCAACCGCGAGGACTTTCGATCCGCGATCGATCGACCGTGGCGATTTAAATTGTGATGCACACGCGTCATTGAGCACGTCGTGGAACCGCATTAGAACGCGTTCTCTTCCTTTGCATTCGATCGCTATCGATCGATCGAATCGATAGATCGCTCGTGATTCAGGGGTGCGCGACACGTTTCATAACGGGACTCATCGACCGGAACCAGCTTTCCATCTGATACCTGAAGAACTGGTCTAATATGTCATTACCGAGCACTCGGGAACTGTTTTTTTTTATATCAAAACTGAAATGATGAAATTTACGAGTGCTTAGTAGGAGTGGGCGGGTATTCGAACTTTTGATCGGGTCGGGCTTTACCTCGAAAGTTTGTCCAGCACTAATTTCAGGATATAATCTAATTTCTAAGGAATTTTTAGTACATAGATCCGGTGTAAAATAATTGAAAAGAGAGTTATCCGCGCGCAAAGGATAGTCTTCGCGTCGGCTCGGCGTCGATTTAACCGCGGGACATCCAGCCGGCGAACTTGAGATTGAAATCGCCGGTTTCCGGTTCCCAGTGCTCCGAAGCGAGCCGTGACGCTCGTTTGTTCCCCTTCGGGGGAAACTAACGGCGAGCCGCGATGCGTGTTTTCGTGCTTGATCATTTGTTCCTTCGAGATACGGCTGCGTGCGTTCCCCTCGCGCATGTACCTGAATATACATACACCGAAGCAGGAAGAATATCCTCGAGTTTGCTCGTAATTAGCGTACCCGCGTAACCCACCTCTCCTCCTTTACCACACGCCCCTACGTATCTCGTTTCCTCCTTTATCTCACTCCTTTCAAGAATTTTCCAATTTTCTTCGATTTCTCAAGCTTCCTCCAAGCTTCTTGATTTCCACCTCTTCAAGGTTCTCCAATTCCCTTCTTCCCTTCACCACTCTTCGATGCTCGTTCGCAAGGTGTTTCTTGCTCGTTACACGAAGAGGGTGTACACGCCGCTGGAATTCGAGGATAATAATCGAACCTCTTGCTGATGTCTCTAACGATCCCGCGGTGGCTCGACTTTGACAAGTTGCGCGCGATATGTATTGATCATCAGAGGCTATATTCGAGACAATTGTTAGCATCCACCGGCGAGCCGACGTGATTTATTCGCTGTTATCGCTCTTGGAGAGATGCTCCTCGCCGAGCAAAGGTCGGCGATTTCGACGCGATCCAACCGCTAATAACGCGTTCTAATTATTAATATCAAATATCCACCAAAGTATGTAAAAAGGTTTTTCATTCCCAAGGAAAACATTCGGATACTAAGCGATCAAGTCATTTGAACGTCGTCGTTTTCATCAAGATATCCTGCTGTCGTTTCTTCTTCAAACGCTCATTATCGCGGCGGATGTAACTTACACAGATCCGCGTATAGTTCCATGATAATAAGGGCTGCTGATTTCTCTAACGACCAAATAATGGCTCATAATTCACGTGAAACGCAATACGTGGAAGCAACTGATACGACTTTATTTATGCGTAGCAGTTAATGTCAATAAAATCTGTTCCTCGTTATTACGATGTTTAATAAACAACCGGCTAATGTTGAATAATAATGCACTAAAGTTCGAGAAAATATTAGCCCGTCGAGAAGTCCGTACCAGTGAAATTAACGACTCGGTAAGATACTAATAACGGTCAATGGTATAGATCAGGGAAATATCAAACGAGTCAGCAAAGTTATTTTTTTTTTTCCGATCGCTTCCGTATCTGGATGCGTGGAAAATTTATTGTAGGTATCGCGAACCCATTCGCAGCGAGACATCCGGCATCTATTCTACCAGCTGCAGCTGCACTTTTGCCACGAGGTGGTTCGCACCTTCCATGGATCAGGCCAGTTCTTCAGCCAGGGACAGGTATAATGACATTGAGATCGGTGCAACGAACGAATGCATAGAGTAGCAGCAATTTGTTGCAAGCGAAAGAATGCATTTCCCTTCCTTTTCTGCGTTTAACTTGTCTTTAGCAATCGCAACGAAGATTCTATCTGTGAAAGCGAGGGAAAGCGAAGCGATGAATCGGAAATGATTTTTGATACTCTGCTCTTACGTTGCGTACAGGTGATTCCCCTCTCGCGAATAGCGCTGGCAATTTTATTAAAACGTTCCCTTATCTTTCGGCCGCTTCGCCGGATCTGCCCGCAACGCGAATGTACGGGCACGATTCAAATGAAATATAGCGTTCGCGGACCAACCGAGTATATCGCGATTTTATCTGCCCAACGGAAAGTAAAAAAAAAATGCTCCACGGCGCTCCGCAACCAGAACAATGTTATCATAGGAGCACCGAAAGAGAGACGTAATCCGTGCAAGGAGAGGAGAGAATCGAAGCTGGAAGGAGCAGAAAAGAAACGTTGTACGTCGATGGTCCCAAGGTTTACCGCCCATCTCGACCGGTTGCTCTTGTAGTTTACAGTGGAAGCAAGGGACACGAGAGTGTAACTTTTGCAAATTTAAAATAGAACGATGAATAGTTGAGCCACGGTGCGAGAGGGTCAAGTTCGACGGAGGCGTCGAGGTCGCGTCGGAGGTGGTTCGTAACTGGAAAATTGGTATTCCCCGGTAGGTATGAGTTAGCGGCATCGGTATGTGGGTATTATACCTTTTGTATTCCGATGTGACACGCCTCCGTCACGTTTGCGACCGTACAACAACGACGACGACGGCGACGACGCTCGTCCACCAGGGACGTATTGGTGGACGAACGATAAAGATTGTTCGGGCCAGGACGTGTGTATATACACGGTGGACTTACACAGTGACACGAAAGAGCAGCACGTACGTGGACGAACCGTAGTAAACGCACACGAACGGAAAGAGTCATGCGGATGCCATACGTAAACGCTCACTGGTAGCCGAGACTCGTATGTACGTTTGAGAATACATTATGTAAGCAAAAGGTGAAAAAAGGCCCCTGGAATAACCCCCACCAGATTCCATCGAGTCGTACCTACGCCCTGCTCCCTTCCAGCGCTGCCTTGTTCCTGTACCCCCCAGGCCCCGAACATCGGGCCAGGAGCATCAGGGCATAGACCTTCGCTCTGTTAAGGTCCGTTTACATCTACGTCCATTGAACATATGTCAGACGACAGATTTTCGACGGCATTCGCGACGAACAACTCCTTCCACGATATCTTAAGACAAAATTCAAACACAGAAGCTGATAAGCGATTGGAAGGTGGAACGCGAGGCAGACGAAGGTTCTCTTGAAAAAATATAGAAACATTTGTAGATATAAACGAACCTTTATCCCGCCGACACGAGCCGAAACTCTGCGGCCAGAGCCGCGTCGTATACGCGTTCGAAAGCTGAAGGAAGAGAACGGGGGAAAAAAGGTGAAAACAATGCATCCTGGAAGCGGCTGGACGAAGTCGAAGGCGCAGAGACACGAGAAGGGAAAGGGAGAAATCGAAGGGCGAAGGGAGCAACGGTCGATTCTCTTCTGCGGACAGTGACGCCGATAGCCCTTTCGATTAGGAAGTACTGGTTGCTCGATGGTAATCAGGTCGCTGCTCTCTCCCTTTTTGGAAACCAGATGATTCGTTCAGAATGTTCAAACATCTTTGATACCGTGAATTTTTGCTAATTAGCAAGTGAGAGATGTGCAAACAGTTTCTAAATTTTCATTTTACTCTTCGACAGCGGAGTCTGGGTCAACCGAAACTCAAACTTGCAAAACATATACAAGGATATTAACCGGAAGTTACAAAATAATTTTTTAAGGAACAGTAAGAAACTCATTTAGAAAATTAAATTAAGGTCCAACCTCCGAGGGATAACCCTTTAACCCTTTGAGGAGCAGTTAATTTCTAGACTTTTGGGGTTCCAAGTTATATAATTTTCATGAAAAGCTGTACAAATATGTTCACTTATAATTAGTTGTAAACAATTAAAACACAAAAATCTCGTTTATTTTAGAATAAATTCGGTTATTCTTGAACGAAAAATTCTACAGCTCTGAAAATTTTTGTGCATATCTTCTATACCTAGTACTACAACAATTTTTTCCGAATTTTTCGCATCCCACTTTAATCAAAAAAAATTTTTGAATTTTCCTAAAATTAAATTTTGCAATTCTGACGTCAGAATCATAATCAACTACCCCAGAAACCTCTAGATAACCTTTGATTTCAATAATTTGTTCGGAAGAAAATGTGCCCCTCAAAGGGTTAATGCAAAGATAGTATACTTTTATGACATATTTACCCATAAACACAGAATCTGATCTTTCTTTTACTTTATGTAGTCGCACGTTTGAGCTTCCAGTTGAGAGAGAAAGCGCGGTAGGCTGTTCGGAATTAATCAATTTCGCAATAATGAATGATAATTAGCGTTCAACGATCTTTCTTCGTCGAAGGGGGGCAGGGATCGGCAAGGCGGAATAAACAAGGATCGGCTCGTTACGCGTCGGAAATAAATTACACGTTTCCGCGGCGGGGAAGGTAATCGTTAAGTAATTAAATAAATTAGTTAATTAAACGCGCGAGAGGGAGAGATCGCGTACGCTAATGCGCTTCTTGCCGGCGCGAGGACGATACCTCCAGCTGTTTGTCACTTTTTCCAGACGTCGCCTGCTAAAAGCTACGATCGCGTTTAACTCGCCTGCTTTGCGATCGCCACATAGTAAACTTATTGCTGGGAAGAAGCAACGCTTCGGTATTTCTCTGTACGCGTTGCTATCGCGTACGCTTCTACCACGTTCTTGCCTCACGGTCATTATCATTTTTCACGCGCGAATCTATGGACGAGTTAACTGGATATCTCATGAAACGCGCCTAATCGTCGACGAATTTCAAATGAAATCAAACAAGCGACGATTGATTAGCGATGGAGAAAAAAAGAAAAGAAAAGAACGCAATGGACGACGCGACGGT